CTGCTTTGCCTGAATGCAATCGAAGACGTTTCATTGCAGTTGGAAAAAACGGTGAAAACGGTAGTACAAAGACGGTCACAAAACAATGAGTTAGTCAAAATTGCGAATGATCATTTAGCAACCAAAGACAGCACTCAGTTCATCACATTTCTTCGATAGATACGTAATAGTGAAAACGTGAGGAGCTAATGTGTTAGAATTATGCATGATATTAGGATGACATGAAGAAGAGTTGAAATGACTCCGGATAGAAAACGATTAACTGATGATGATGATCGTTCATTCCCAATGAAGTCTTCTGTTTCAACCTTTGGTTACGTAGCAGGATCCGTGGGATGTGAGCTATACGAAGGTGATTGATAGAATGTACATGATGAATTATATAAACAAGTGTAAAACACTAAAATGTAAACTATTGAAATAATTGTTTGGCAGATTTGAAGTTTGTATGTCAATTGTGAAAAGTTCAGTAATGTAAACTAGTAAAACCCTCCCGACTGACTTTGCATCATCAGAAAATTCTTGATTGAGGGTACTAGTTATGCGCACTGATGTCAAGTAGCGGAAATACCTCTTTGAGAATTACAGGATGTTCCAAACCGGGTGGAAGGTCTTTGAAGCTGACCTCTGCTCTTACAAACAGAAGCTGAAAATTTCAGGCCATTTCACACACGAGGTATTTAATCGTTAAATTATCAAGAACTGAAATTTGAGGGACCATTAGGGAGACAAAAACAACGCATGACAAACTGCTTATTGACAATTGATATTCATTTTGAGGCAATTTTGAAAGCGATAAAAGATTTACAAAAACTACAAGGGATAGGACAAATCAGTTGAACAACATGTAAAAGCTTCGAGGAAAATTTAACTAATTACTGTCAACAATTCTACCCGGTTACCCTGAAGGTCGCACTTGGTTGTGCAAGGGTTAGAGATGCACCCTCGAACAAAAGCAGAGCGACGCTGGGGACGACACTTAGTACCCCATTCCCAAGTTTCTTCATCGTCTGACAATGGTACATCACGCTCATGCTACGGCGTTCCCGGAAAGCGACGCACCCTGCGCTCTCCCAGTGGCTGGGGTGACAAATGAGCGAGCTGGGAATCTAAACCATCACCAGGTTCGGCATCCATGTAGCCTGCTGGAATGTTAGAACATTGCTAGACACAGGAAGCCAGTGTATCACGATGCGATTGCTGCACGACTACAAGTAAGACATCTGTTGTCTGTCTGAAGTCCGACTAAATAACTGTGGCACAAAACTAATCAACGTGCCATATAGCAATGTAACCTACCGGTTATACCACAGCGGCCCAACTGATAACTCCGATTTGCACGGAGTAGTAATCGCCGTGAGCGGCTGGGCCAGCAATGCCATGATCTCCTGGGAACCAATCTCTCCCAAGATTGCCATTGCGCGTTTCAGGAGAAAGCCGTTTAACCTGAATGTCATCGCTGTGTATGCTGCAACGTTACATACGGAAGAGCCCATCAAAGATGACTTCTACAAGCAAGTTCAAGACGCAGTGAACGGCAGTCCGAAACGCGACATCCTCGTTATCGCAGGAGACTGGAATGCAGGTTTTCTGGGGTGCTGAAAACGAGTGTTGACCACGATCATCGGGTTAAGGTCAATTATTGTGATTAGGCGTTCGCCATTTTCACAACGTTGACCGAACTTTCCCAGAACATGCTGAGTATGTTCGTCTGATGGTCGAACGGCACACCAGATTGATTATATTTTGGTACGTGCTTACTGGGCCTCTTCGGTGAAAGACTGCCGTTCCCATCGCGGCGAAGAAACTGGAAACAGGAACGATAAAAACAATACCCTTGTACGAGCCCGCTTCAAGACCCACCTGACTACTCACCGGAAGACTCGTCTCCCGGGAAAAATCGACGCCGCCCTTTTGGAACGACCTGAGAGAAGGCAGGCGCTGCTGGACGCAAAGGCTTCCAACATTGCCGAAACCTTCTTTGATGACTCAACTGTCGACGCACCGTGGTTTACACTGAAAACGTCCATCAGAGAAGCGGTGCTGGGGCATTTAGGTGAGATTCTTCGCCACAAGAGAGTGTACACTGCAGTTGTCCGCAAAGGCAAGAGATGCGCGGCTGATCAATTCTCCCGAATTTCGTATTCTCCGTCGCCAAGCCACGTGCTCCGCCGAGAGTAACCGTAAACAGTAGTGGAGGGCGATCGCACACAGCATGGAGGCTGCAACCGTTGCAGCGGACTTCGGAAAGCTCTTCCGTCTAATGCGTGTCGCAGCAGGAACGAGGCAGACATCGGAACCACTGTTGCGCAACGCCGCAGGGAACCGAGCAAAAAATGAAAAAGTGGGTTGAACACTTCGACGGGCTGCTCAACCGATCAGCAAACCAGATATCGAGCAGTTCGGAGACTTAAGACATCAATTATGACCCACCTAGCACGACAGAAATCATCAACGCAGTCACTTCTCTGATAAACAGGAAGGCCCCCGGAGAAGACGGGACACCACCAGAATATTCAAAGCTTGCTTACCAACTGTGATCTATCCGCTGTACTCTTTCAACAGTATGTTTCATTGACTTCCGAGCTGCATTTGACTCTGTCGATAGAATCCTTGTGGTGCATATTGCAGTTCAACGGGATGCCTGGGAAGTTCATCAGGCTTTTAAAGTCATACTACTCAGGAACCCGGGCACGCGTCCGTACCTATGGAGAAGAATCGACTGAGTTTACCCTAAGCTCTGGAGTTAGGCAAGGTTCTCCCCTATCGCCGGTGTTATTCAATTACACCGCAGATTGGATAATGCGACTACCCTGGAGTGCAGCTTGGCCCAGGTACATGGATTGCTGACCTCGAGTTTGCGGATGATGTCGTTGTACTTGGAGACAGCATGGACAACCTCCAGCTTGTTGTCAGTCGTATAAATCAGTTTGCCCAGTCCACTGGGCTAGAGATCAACACGTCAAAAACGAAGACATTTTCGACCGAAACTTCTATCATGACACCTCTCGATTAACGGGAAGCTTGTCGAATCAACCGAAGTTTTCAAGTATCTTGGCTCTACGATAAGACCAAACGGCCAGGCTAAGGATGAAATCCAACTCCGTGTAGATGGAGCTAGAAGAGCTTTCCTACAACTCCTCAAACCGTTGTAGAATCGATGCGAAGTAAGCTTAAACACTAAGCTTCGGGTTTATCAGGCTTCCATCCGTCTCATCCTCACTTATGATTGTGAAACATGACCGCTAAGAGTACAAGATAGAAGGAAGCTCAAAGTCTTTGATCATTGGTGCGTCTTGAAAGTAAATTGGAGATCGGATTTCCAATGATGAGGTTCGACGGCGCTGTTTGAACATTGACAAGCTTTCGAAAATGCTACAACGCCGGCACCTTTAGTTGTCATGTGTCCCGAAGGCCCGACACTCAACTCTCGCGACGGGCTGTAGCTACCGCACCGTGCCGTGGATGGCGTTGCCGACTCGGTGGCCAACTGAAGACCTGGAGTAGTACGATCAAGGCGGATTTGGAATTACTGCGTCTTCAATCCTTATATGGAAGTCGCAACTGGAACCAGAACTGGGTTTCTCACTGCGTCAACCTTGCTATCAATCGTCATGCATGAGCCGTCATCATTAGAGACATCCAGGAAGCCCACTTATCCTCCCGCAGGAGTTAGTCGATCAAAAGTAAAAGTAATTACTGCCCTACTCCTGCTTTACGGGATCAGTGCATGGTATAAATAGATCAGAGTAAACCGGGAAAAGAAGCAGACCACCGACTTCTGGATCAGGATGTAAAGCGGGTGCAAGACCGTTTTCTCTGTCAGTATTCTCAACCGTTAGATAGTAGGGCTCTTTGAACCTCAGTAGCAAAGATGAAACCACATTTTTTTCAAATTTGTACCCGCGTTCATTACAGATGAAGTTTCTCTCAAATGAATCACTACCTATCGAACGTTACGGACGGTGGGCTGATGTGCTGCCAGACACTACTGGACATTACACTTTCACTTCAGTAGACTAATCGACAAACCGCTCCTTCGTCAAATTTACCAAAGAACACAGTTGACGAATGTGAAACCTTCATGGAACATGCACTTCATATCTCGAAATGCTCCAATAGGATTTATTATACGTATCAGGTATGGTTTCAATTTACCAATCAAATCATGTTTTAAAACTTTAAGAAATGGGGACTATTATAGACACAAGCGGGAAAGGAAAAGAACTCCGTGACTGCTAGAAGCACCACATATTTAAAACTGTATTGCAAGTAGAACAAGCCTCATAAAAACGATACACCTGGGACCCGCTCATTCTAGTCTTGGCTATCAGTAGATTTACACTAGTTCGAAAAGGGTGAAAACTCAACATTTTATCGGACGGTACAGTGGAAATGATATACAAACCACTTCAGAATGCCTGAGTGCTGTTATCCGTGTGTTACATGTAATAAAAAATATTATATTTGAATTTTTCAAACCAGATTCGCTTCTCAGCTTATACTTCGAAAAAACTGTGCAACGACCTTTGGCCGCTTTAGAGTTTGTAAGCAAACCCTGAGGTTGAAACTTTTCTATCGTAATACGTTATATAAGTATTATTGACACTTAAGGATGAACAAGAATGATGGCCAGCATTTATCCAACACCTAGGAACAGTTATAAAACCATATCGAGAATTTTGTGTTCAGAGCAATTGCGGTGTGGACCAAAATCTATAAAGCACCACACAGCTGCTTCGATCTGATTAGGTTTCATCAGCGGCACGAACCCATCGACCCAACTAGGGATCCAACCCGGGACCTCACGAAATGCATGCAAACATACTAATCACTTGACAGCTGACCAAGTGTTTTTCAGTTAGTCTATTCACTCATTTAACAACCGAGTCAGAACTCTGGTGTCTAGTTGTGAAATGAATGATGTCACCCGCAATCAGTCGACAAATATAGGCCTGGTTGAGTGATTTTAGACAAACTAAAACTATCTGTTCAGCTGCCTAGTGGTTAGGAGAGTGGTCTTCTCGAGTTCTATCTGAGGTCTCGGATTTGGTCCTCAGTTGAATCGCTGGATTCACACCAATGTACAGTGCTTACTAGCTTTTCAGTTCAAGCTTCATTTGCTTTGTCCAGGCGGAAATTCATGATAATCAAATCATGTGCTTCACTGTTTTAAAATTAGACACATACTTACAGGATGGATAGGTAGTAAAGACTACAAAACAGCATCAGAACTGGGACCAGTTAAATGCTTACCTTAGTTCTTCAGCATTTGCCGGGACAGGTTCTTTTGCGGTGCAGTTTGCAAGTGAAAAATAGCTTTCCGGAGATGGAACCAGAAAGTCAATCATTATGACGGCGATCAAAGCGGACAGAAGCGGGAGATTGACGTAGCTCAAGGGAATAACTAGTTGGTTATCGAGTGTTTGTGTCAGAAGTACCATAAAAATGAGAAAGCACAGCACAGTAATCGTATATCCCAGGGTAGATCGTCTTAGAATACTGATATTTGGATCATGGGTTTTAGAGAACAGACTGTCCACCGCTAGCAGACATCCGTACAGGAGAAGTGCAACAAGTAAGGTTATTATGATCCATAGTGGAATAAATGCCACGGCCCAAGAGACCAATAGCTTTTTGTCTAAGCGTAAACTGATCAGAATAAATGTTACGATGTTCACAGCAACAAAGTCGTCTAACTGAGGCTGGCGCACGTTTCGGAAAGGATAAAAAAGTGACAAATTAACTAAACAAAATAAGAACAGAGGTATAAAAGCATGACAGTACATTATACTGCCCCCGTCTGTTTTAATACACATGAGAATACAAAAACAGAATAAAAATAAATGGCAAAGAGCTAGGATTGATTTTGCCGAAAAATCACTGCGTAGTTTCAAGGAGCCGCATAAACCACGATTAATGTACACTACACATTCGTGTAAGGTGCAGATCAAATCATATGCAAACCATAACCACATTGGAGTCATCAGTTTCCAAACACTATAAGTAAGATTTAGATCTTGATGCAAGCAAAATAAAGTGGATGTTATCGAAATGCACAAAAGCAATGGGATTCGACTAAGGTTCCATCGACTGTCATTGGAATCCATTTATTCTTGGATTCAGAGCTTGAGTGCCAACAAAAAGCTATTTGATCACTCTTTAAGTGCGACCGTTTCGAAAGTGAAAAAATCTGAAACGAAACAAGAACAGATCCAGGTAACAAACAACAGGGAACGTTTGCAAAAGATATTTTGAAAATGTAACTTGTTATGACTTAATCATTCGATCCGAATCAGATCTGTTTTGAGTGTGAAAAGCATGCCTCGAAAATCCGAAGAATTCTTCTCAAATGTATTGTAAATGGAGTTTTTCTCTGTTGTCCAAAGGTTTTGACCCATACTTAGATATCGGTTATTTCATTGGTTGCTAAAAACATAGAAAATCAAACCAGACGACGGCACCAAGCTGTTTGTGGTAGTGGTCACCGGTTCGATTGGGCACCTTGGACGATTGGTTCTGTCTAAAGAGCGTATGATCCGCTGAACTCAACACCGATCCCAAAAGAATTGCGGCTTATATATATATATATATATATATATATATATATATTGACCCGCAAGGCAGCGGGAAGAAGTGTGAAAATCGCAATTCGTTGGGGGGCCGGTGTTCGATCCATCGGATCACACACTCTTTGAATGGAATCAAACGCCCANAAGGTGCCCAATACACCTCCATGTCCAATCCAACCGGTGACCAATACCATAACCAGGACAGTGTGAGTTTGTACTTCGTGGGCCTCTTCTTGGTTGGTGAAGAATCATGGTTTTTCGCCAAATCCCCCAGGTGAACTGCCAATGGTTCACCGACCCGGATATTCTCACTTTGGCTGAAAAACACCTCCGCCACGAGAAGACTATGAGTAAGGCTTCCTCAGGAGGAACTATTTGAGACGCTTGGTCATATGGAAACATTTTACGATGTGCAACGGGTGACCCGCCACAACCCAAAACACTCAACCCTGACCATACTAGAGCTTTTGGATGCTCTCAATCTCATGCCACCTCGCCGACAATATCGAAGAGCAAATCAAGACAAGGACGAGAGCAAAGCAATTGTGACTGGTGCCAGAAGAACCTTCATGCAACTCCGTAAATCATTCCGGTCACGAGGTGAAATAAATCGCGTACACAGGTATGCGTTTTTAAGGCTTCTAACTGTTTCGTTCTCGCAGTTAATTGTGAAATGTGGCCTCCAAGGGTCGAGGAATCTAGGAAACTGAAAAGTTTGAACAATGGTACCCCTAATATCTTGAAAGTTCTCATGCGTGTTGGAACCTCAGAAATCCTCTGGAAAAGTGATCCTTTGTTGAACACCGCCACCACAGATAGTTTGATTAAGTCCCCAACGACCAGCAAGCAATATCTAAGGTCACTGCCTATATCAAACACTGCGCAGGTTGCTTGTTCTGGTGGTCAAAGCAAAGCACCTACTTTGTTCATTGAACGGTATGAATTCTTAGTACTGTGCTTATTGCAATTCATACGATCGACAAAACCATGGATAAGCATACATATAAAAATAGTACGAAAGAAGCCATCAATCGTAGACAAGAATAAGTATTATTGATCTGGCATGATTTTTCTGGGATTTCAATCTGTATTTACATAAACGTAACTGGATAGCAATCCGTAGCAATTTAGCCGATGACTACCGCGCGAAAGCTGCTGCTGTCCGAGATACCAATGATACTGACTCATCTCTATGCACTAAACAGTTGAGTAAGTGAGCAACCTGGATACAGATAAGATGTGATCTGAATCGTAGTGTGATAGAAGTGACTAAATGAAATTCAGTTCAGTTCAGTACGAACAACCATTAACCATGCACTTTCGTACGCCGGTTTTGGTTGCTGTCTTTTGGCTGCCCATTTGGATGAACAGTAGAAGACAGGAAAGTTGAAAATAGAGTCATATAGAAAATGAAGAAATTCATTGAACTAACGTTACAAAGAAATCGAGAAGATGCACAAAAACCACTCAGTCATTTCACTCAAAGTCTCTAACCACAGGTTACGATCACCCCGAGGTCCCCAGCCAAGGGACCTAACGGGACCTATTTGAACCACTCCTGGTTAGGGTTTTTACACCTTCATTTCATGTCTTAGCTTGAACACCCTGGGTTTTATTCCACCAATTACCTGCCTCAGTGATGAAGAATTAACGGGAATAAGGGGACTTTTGCCAAATCTGAATAACGCCGTCGTTTTTGTGAACTGTGGCCTGACCTTAAATACTCGACGTTTTGGGCTGTTCACTAACTTTACCTCGGTTGGCCTTCGGCAGAGTTTAAGCGTTTTATACAAGAGACACCCCTAGGGCCCCTCGGTTTTTTTATCGGAAGCCTACACAGAACAGACTATGCCCATTTGGCGGAAGAAAAACCCGCGAGCAGGCTGGGTTTTAGTGCACACCGTGGTTCCACAGATCAAATCTTCACCCTTCATCAGCCCCAGAACACCACCATACATAGA